ACGTGCACTGTCAAAAGATGACAGTGCACATGCCTCTCTCTATTTTAGGCTCAAATTTTTTGATCAAAATGGAGAAATGATATATGTTACTCATTTCATTGAGAAGTGTTAAATTGGAAAGATACACAAAGCTATATCATAAAATACAAGACGGGATTTTCTGATCTATTACTGATTCAATGTAGGACTTAGTCTTGACTCTTGATTTTATATTGGGTCTTCTGTGAGTAGGGGTGTAAGAAAATGACTCGACTCAGACTTGAAATGAAAAATTCGAATTTGGGTTGAGTTGTTACGCTCATGTGGGCAGGTCGCATTGCGGGAGCGGAAGCGGAGCCAAGGCACAGTTGAGTGGGTCGCTTGGCCTAGGCTTAGCAACCGTGGTAGAGCAAATTGTGGGGTGTTGATCACATGAGCATAGGCATAGGCCAAACGCGATCAGGAACTATGGAGACCTGCGTACAAACGGGCTGCGGGGCAAGATCAGATTTGACCCATCAGGCGTTGGAGCAAGAACTTATTAGTCAATTTATTATGATAAGTGTAGCGAAAGAAATGTTTCTAATTAGTAACTTATTGTTTTATAATTCTTTAATTAGAATTGACTAGCTTATGATTTTTGTTCCACAAATTTGAATTCCTATTTTTAATAACTCAATTTGAAAAAAATATCCCTAATCAATTGCAGATTTTAAAAGTCATTACTGACAACAATAAAGAGACATCATGTGAACCTGAGATAATAAAATAACATAAGAATGTTTTTTTTTTTTTTTGGGAAAAACATAAGAATTTCAGTTAGGGTATACCGACACAGGTCGTCTTGTTCTAATTAATCTCTATAAATTGAAATGGTGCAAGGCCATGTGGGCATATCTTCCTCCCAAGGCTTATAGAATCTCTCTCTCTCTCTCTCTCTCTCTCTCTCTATCAGCCTTACACATTTCTCTGGTCTTCAAATTAACAGAACAATGGATGCGTTAACTCAATATCTTCTTTGGTCGGCCTTCTTCGCAGCTCTCACCATAATTTTTCTAAGACGTCGATCGACGACAGAGTTAAATCTTCCTCCAGGGCCAAGATCGCTTCCTATGTTGGGCAACCTACTCGAGCTAGGCCAAAATCCCCACCGCTCTCTGGCCCGCCTTGCCCGAACTCATGGACCAGTCATGTCTCTCAAGCTTGGCAGCATCCACACAGTCGTCATCTCCTCACCAAGCTCCGCAAAAGAAATCCTAAAAACAAAAGAGCACTCCATCTCCGGCCGACAAGTCCCTCAGGCCATTCAAGCCTCCGGCCACCACCAGGTCTCTGTAGTATGGTTGTCTCGAAACCAATCATGGAGATACCTCCACACCCTCATGAAGACCCATCTATTCAACGCGCAGTCTCTCAACGCCACCGAGGAGCTTCGCCGGCAAAAGGTTCAAGAACTTGTCGCATATATCAAGGGGAAGAATGAGGAGGCCGTGCACATTGCCCGGGCGGCGTTTTGCACTGTGCTCAATCTGATATCAACCACCTTTTTGTCGATTGATATCGTAGATTTGAAATCTGAATCAGCTCAAGAGTTGAAGGATGTGATGCAGGGGATAATGGAAGAGGCGGGGAAACCGAACATCTCTGACTACTTCACTTTCTTGGCTCCAATTGACTTGCAAGGCCGGGGACGTCGATTTACAGCATACTTTAATAAATTATATGATTTTTTCGATCAAATGATAGAAAACCGATTGGCAGATACAACTGGAGAAGTTATAAGGACTAATCCTGACATTTTGGATCTGCTTCTACAACTAAGTCGAGAAGACAATTCAAAGCTTACTAGACGAACCATAAAATCCTTCTTGTTGGTAATTATTAATCATGCACAATAAATTTCCTAATTTGCATTATATATTTAGGGGCTGTTTGGTAGCATGATATATACCCAAACAACATGATATATAAGAGGATTTACAAGAATGTTACCGGACAGTTTTTAGGATTTAAGCACCTCAGGATTTTCGAAATCCGAATTTAGAGATTATGAAATTCTACTTAAATCAAATCCGTGTTGATACCAAACAGCCCCTAAAAGTATAATAAATTTCTTTTAAAATTTTGTCAGGACGCTTTTGTCGCTGGAAGCGAAACGAGCTCGACCACACTGGAGTCGGCGATGGCAGAATTGCTTCGCAGGCCAGAACTGATGAAGAGGGCTAGAGAAGAGATCATTACTGTAGTCGGGTTCGAGAGAGAAATTGAAGAGTCTGATATCTCAAAACTACCGCTCCTCCAAGCAATTCTGAAGGAGACACTCCGGCTTCATCCACCGGTTCCACTTCTACTACCTCATAAAGCAGAGGTAAGCACGGAGATAAATGGCTACTTGGTCCCGAAGAACACTCAGGTGCTCGTAAATGTGTGGGCGATAGGTCGAGATGAGCAGGTTTGGGAGAAGCCGGACTGCTTTATGCCTGAGAGGTTTATGGAAGGAAGCAACATAGATTTTCGAGGGCAGCACTTTGAGCTAATACCATTTGGTTCAGGACGGCGAATCTGTCCTGGACTGCCTTTGGGCGTTCGGATGGTTCAGCTCATGCTGGCCTCACTCATTCAATCCTTTGAATGGAGTTTGCCGGACGGAATGAAGCCGAAGGATTTGAATCTCGACGAGCAGTTTGGTCTCACACTTTCCTTGGCTTCTCCCCTGAAGGCTTTGGCTACTCCTGTCAGGAAAATGCGGTAGTTAACTTAATCTCAGCCTTGCATATCAGGGCTTGTAATATCTAAGCTTCCTTGAATGGCTGTATCATCACTAGCTTGTAATATCTAAGCTTCCTTCAATTATTACAACGTCATTAAAGTGACGTTGAGCTCAATATCAAACATTATAATTTTTATATGAAATGCTCCTATTGATTAAAGTACTATTTGACTATGATTTGGTTGTTTAATTCAGTTGCATGTCTTAATTAATTTTATATAAATGATTACTCCGTATAAGTGCTATCTAGTTTGATGCAGCTCAGGATAACCCGGCTCACTGGCAGCACAACATACTCAGCTCAAACAGAATACACTACCTCCACTACTTTATTTTCTATTTATGTTAGTAACTACTTTTGCAGTCTTTTTACTTTTACAAAAACAGTATACAGAAATTATAGATAGGCGTACAAGGAAAAGAGGAGGATCAGTTGTCTTCTTTTTACACAAAGTAATACTAGAAACCAGAATACAGAGGTATTCTTCTACCTTATTCCCTGTTTTTTGGCTTGCTGTCACTTGTATTTTCTCTCCCAGGTAAAGACGATCCTGCAAAGGACTTCAGTTGGTATCAGAGCCATCATCTGGAGACAAAATGACGGACAGAGGCAAGGAACCGGCGGAAGCTCGAACTCTTGAAATGCTGTGGGCAGATCAAGAGCATGTCAAGCGACGGATTGAAGAAGTAGCAGCCGACGTGCAGCGGATGACGGTGGAGATTCGCCAGGAGTTTAATCTCCTCCAGACAAGACCAATGTACCAGGAACATCTCCGGGATGAGGTCCGAGCAAATCGACCAATCCATAGGAGGGAAGGCGGTGATCGTGATAGGAGACACCTTAAGTGCAATCCACGGATCCACTCGGATTCGGAAGATGATCCCGTCACAGAGCGAGTTCCCCATCAACAATACTCCAGTGGCGAGGAAGTGGACGATAGACGCGAAGCCGAACACCTTCGGAATCATCGACCCCAACATCATCGGCATCACTCCAGTGACTTTAAGGTAAAGATGGATATTCCGTTTTTCGACGGACATCTTCATATTGAAGATTATCTTGATTGGGAGAAGGCCGTGGAAAACTTTTTTGATTATATGGATATTGATCCGGAGAAGAGAGTGAAATATGTGGCCTGCCGATTGAAGGGCGGAGCTAGCGCGTGGAGGGAGAAAACGCTGCAGTCGCGCCGTCGAGAGGGCCGGGGCTGAATCCGAAATTGGGCAAGAATGAAGCAATTGATGCGGGCACAGTTCCTTCCGACCGATTTTGAGTAGATTTTATACATGAGGTATCAACATTGTAACCAAGGCGCGAGGTCGGTGAGCGAATATACAGAGGAATTCAACCGATTGAGTGCTAGGAATGATCTCAATGAGTCGACCAATCAGTTGGTGGCTCGATTTATTGGTGGCCTCAAAGATAGTATTCAAGACCAATTGGAGTTGAATTCCGTGTGGTCGATGTCTCAAGCCATGAATCTGGCTATGAAGGTCGAGATGCAGCAGAATCACAAGTCGAAAGTCTCCACGTATCGGCGGCATTGGCAGGAATTCGGTACCAGTCGCAATTTCAGTAATCCGCAATCAGCAGTGCGACCACCGCCGAGTACCAATCCAGTCTCGCCCGCTACAGGAGCGACGGGTGTTGGACCAGAAGGAAAAGCTATACCAAAGACCAAGGTGGTCAATCCTGCTAATCCATATGCGAGGCCGACTACGCTCAAGTGTTTTCGATGTTTCCAGCCTGGACACAAGTCTAATGAGTGTCCCCAGAGATAGCAGGTACAATTGGCAGAAATGGATGATGGAATATATCCCGACAACATTGAGGTAGAAACGAAGACGAGGCTGAAGACGTGTAGGCTGATGAGGGAGAGCCGTTTATTGGGGTCTTGGAAAAACTTCTATTGGCACCCCGCCAATATGAAGCGTCTCAACGGCACGCCATCTTTAAAACCCGATGTACTATAGAAGGAAAGGTGTGTGATCTGCTCATAGACAGTGGGTGTACCGAAAATATAGTCTCGAGGGCTGTTGTACAAGGCTTGCAGTTAAAGACGATTAAACATTCTCATCCATACAAAATCAATTGGGTCAAGAAGGGGATGGAGATTATAGTCACTGAATCTTGCCGTGTATCGTTTTCTATAGGAAAACATTACAAGTGCGAAGTGTTGTGCGACCTCTTGGAAATGGACGTGTGCCATTTGATCTTAGGCCGACCTTGGCAGTTCGATGTGGGAGTTCATTATGACGGAAGAGCAAATGTGTATTCCCTTGATTGGAAAGGGCGGAGGTTGCGGCTGTTGCCAGGTGCGGCTGGCACCTTATCAACAAGCAGAGAGCCGGCTAAGCATGCGGCTATTCATTTGGTTGCTGGCACCAAATTGGTACAAGAGTGGAGGGAGCACGTTCCCATGTTTGCTTTGGTCATTACAGAGCCGAACCAAGAAAATGAATTGCTGGAACTTCCGTCTGATGTCGTCGAACTTTTAGATCAATACCGTGATATTATTCCCAAGGAGTTGCCTGCAGAACTACCCCCACTGCGGAAGATTCAACACCAAATTGATTTCATACCAGGTGCCACCTTGCCGAATTTACCTCATTATCGGCTCAATCCTAAGGAGCAGGTGATTTTGCAAGAGCTGATTGATGATCTGTTACGGAAGCAACTAATACAAGCAAGCCTTAGTCCTTGTGTTGTGCCGGCGTTGTTGGTACCAAAGAAAGATGGCACTTGGCGGATGTGTATCGACAGTCGAGCAGTCAACAAGATCACGATCAAATATAGATTTCCCATGCCTCGCATTGACGAACTTCTTGATCAGCTCACGGGATCAGCTGTTTTCTCTAAATTGGATTTGCGTAGCGGATATCACCATATCCGCATCCTACAGGGTGACGAGTGGAAAACGGCTTTCAAGACACCCCAGGGGCTATTTGAGTGGAAGGTTATGCCGTTTGGATTGTGTAACGCTCCTTCCACGTTCATGAGGATGATGAATGAAATCCTGAAACCTTTTTTGGGAAGGTTTTGCATCGTATATTTCGACGACATCCTTGTCTACAGTTCAGACCGATTGCAACACCTCCAACACTTGAAGGCGCTATTCGAGGTTCTGAAGGAACAGAAACTATATGTCAACCTTCCCAAGTGCGAGTTGGCTACTTCGAAGGTGAGGTTTCTCGGATTCATTGTCTCCAGTAATGGTATAGAAATGGATCCACAAAAAGTATCGGCCATCCGGGATTGGCCCCAACCTGGGTCGTTTTTTGATGTAAGAAGCTTTCATGGCTTGGCCAACTTTTATAGAAGATTTATCAAAAATTTCAGCCTTATCATGGCGCCCATAACTGATTGTCTGAAGCTTAAAGTATTCACATGGGAGACGGCGCAACAACAGAGTTTCGAAGACATTAAAAAGGCCTTAACGACGGCACCGATTATGGCACTACCGAGTTTTGAAGAACCGTTCGTTGTTGACACGGATGCGTCGGCCGTCAGCATTGGTGCCGTGTTGTCACAATTGGGAAAACCCATAGCTCTTTTTAGTGAGAAGCTATGTCCAGCCAGGCAGAAGTGGGCAGCATACGAACAAGAGTTGTATGCGATTGTGCGAGCGCTCAAACAATGGGAATCCTACCTTCTACATCAAGATTTCATTCTATGTAGTGATAATAAAGCATTACAATATCTGAACACTCAAAAAAACATCAATCGCATGCATGCCCGTTGGCTTGTGTTCTTACAACGCTTTTCATTCACCATAAAACATAAGCCGGGAGTTGAAAATCGCGTCGTCGATGCACTCAGCCGAAGGGCTATCTTACTCACACAATTGCAAACTGAGCTCGTGGGAATTGACAACCTGAAAGAATTGTATGAAGAGGATCCGGATTTTGGAGCAATCTGGAAGCTCTGCAATGAGAAACTGTAGCATGAAGACTACTCGGTTAGACACGGTTTCCTTTTTAAACATAATTTATTATGTGTTCCCATCTCCTCTTGGCGGCAACACCTTATTCGGGAAACCCATGGCGGAGGACTCGCAGCCCATCTTGGAAGAGATAACACTCTGTATCAATTGCAGTCTTGATTCTTTTGGCCACGGTTACGACGTGACACCCTTCGATTTGTGGATAGCTGCCCAATCTGTCAATCATACAAAGGCGGAGCGCAAAACACTGGTTTATACATGCCACTGCCGGTACCTAATTCCATTTGGGAAGATTTGAGCATGGACTTCGTGCCCGATTGCCACGCACCAGGAAGGGCAGCGACTCAATTATGGTGGTCGTTGATCGCTTCTATAAAATGGGCCACTTTATCGCTTGTAAGAAAACATTCAATGCCATGACTGTTGCTAACATTTTCTTTCAATAAGTGGTTCGGTTACATGGATTACCCAGGAGCATTACCTCTGATCGAGATGTCAAATTCATAAGTCATTTTTGGTGCGAATTGTGCAAGCGACTCGGCATCAATTTGAATTTTAGTTCCGCCTACCACCCCCAATCCGATGGCCAAACGGAAGTGGTAAATAGGACCTTAATATGCTGCGATGCCTAGTTCAAGAACATCCTAAACAGTGGGAAGAGGTCCAAGCTCGTGCTGAATTCGCTTATAACGCCATGAAGAATCGATCTACTGGAAGGGCACCTTTTGAAATAGTATATACCAAGGGACCTAATATTGCTATAGATCTGTCTGTTATACCGAGGTGCCGATCTTCTGCAGCTGCCACATTCACCGAAGACTACTCCAAAATGTTGGCTGAAGTTCGTGAGCAGATTGTCAAATCCAATCTCCGTTACAAAGCGGCCGCAGACACCCACCGTCGTGAGCGTTTATTTCAAGTGGGAGATTTGGTCATGGTCCGCCTCCGACGAGAACGTTTTCCACCCGGTACCTATTCAAAATTAGCCCGCCGTAAGATCGGTCCCGTGCCTATCATTGCTAAAATCAACGACAATGCTTACAGTGTCGAACTTCCTGCGGATTGTCACGCAACCCCAACTTTCAATGTTTCTGATATTTCACTTTACAAATCCACAGACGACGCAGCTATTTCGATCAGCTCATCAGAGTCGAGCTCTTCTGAAGTCGGGGAGGACTGATGCAGCTCAGGATAACCCGGCTCACTGGCGGCACAACATACTCAGCTCAAACAGAATACACTACCTCCACTACTTTATTTTCTATTTCTGTTAGTAACTACTTTTGTAGTCTTTTTACTTTTACAAAAATAGTACATAAATTATAGATAGGCGTACAAGGAAAAGAGGAGGATCAGTTGTCTTCTTTTTACACAAAGTAATACTAGAAACCAGAATACAGAGGTATTCTTCTACCTTATTCCCTGTTTTTTGGCTTGCTGTCACTTGTATTTTCTCTCCCAAGTAAAGACGATCCTGCAAAGGACTTCATAGTTGACTTTAATTTTTTTATGCTGAAATCAATTACGTTCAAAGTTTTATTGCAAGTAAACAAAATTTTATTTACTATTTTTAATAGATCAAATTGCGTACACTGCTCATTCTTGCTTGTTAGTACAAAATGTGAAAAGTGTGATTGCTACTATTCTTTTTTTTTTATTCTTTTTTTTATTATTTTTTTTATGTGACTATTATTATTATTATTATTTTATGTGACTGCTATTATTTTTTTTATGTGACTGTTATTTTTCTTTGCTTTAACAGTTTAAGTAATTAGGGTTTATTTAGGCTAGTTTCTTCACTATTTTTTTAAGCCAATAATAGTTCTATTTGACTCCTACTTTTTCTTTGGTGTTCAAACTTTTTTGTTGTAGAAAATTATTTTTAACAATTAAAATTACTAATGTGCAGAAATTTAAAGAAAGCAATTGTTTCGTTTATATATATATATAAATACACGTCCTGGAGTATTTGTGGCGGTAGAGAAATATAAAATTTAGTGTCTTAGCATTGTACTAAAATCTGGCACACAATCAGATAAGAGAGAGGGTCTTTTTTATCACGGTTGGAGTCAAAGTTGCCTCCCAGTCCGCATCTAATTTTTATGATATTGATGTCGCAATGACTGATGTCAGAAAGTTAGTAAGAGTGATCTTTTAAGATTGGAGCAATAGTTGCTTCCCAGTCGGGAACCACGTTCTCACATACGACGCTAAACTATAGCATCCTGGAGTATTCATGACCGTAGAGAAATGTAAAGTTTAATGTCTTAGCGTTGTACGAAGATCCAGCACACACACAGATAAAGAGAGAGGCTGCAACATTTAAAGGAGACACCAAGATTTTTACGTGAAAACCTCTAAAAAGGGGGAAAAATCACAGGGCCTAGACCGATTTGAATGAATCAACTAGTATTCGCAGTTGATTACAAATGAGGCCCTTCCTTAGGGGAAGGTCTTAGCTTGATCTACATCTTATAGAGCACATTACATGATGAGAATACAAAGAATCCAAGTTGATGTATTTGTTAGGTCTGAAGGTCTGTAGTTGGTGGACGACATATGTCAGAAGAACCGTAGTCAATGGGCGACAAAGGTCGGAAGGACTGTAGTCAATGGGCGATGTAAGTCAGAAGAACCGTAGTTGACTGGCGACGAAGGTCGGAAGGATTGTAGTCGGTGGGCGACATAAGTCAGAAAGATCGTAGTAGGTGAGCGACAGAGGTTGAAAGAACTGTAGTCGGTGGGCGATGTAAGTCAGAAGGACCATAGTCGGCAGGTGACAAAGGTTGAAAGGACTGTAGCCGGTGGATGACATAAGTTGGAAGGATCGTTGTCTGCGGGTGAAGAAGGTCAGAAAGACTATAGTCGGCGAGCGACATAAGTCGGAAGGACCGTTGTCTGTGGGTGATGGAGGTCAGAAGGACTGTAGTTGGCGGGCGACATAAGTCGGAAGGACTGTAGTCGGCGGTCGACGGAGTTCAAAAGAACTGTAGTCGGTGGGTGACGTAAGTCAGAAAAACCGTAGTCGGCGGGCGACAGAGGTCAGAAGGACTGTAGTCCGTGGGCGACGTAAGTCAGAAGTACTGTTGACTAACGATGAAGGTATGAAAGATGGTGTCAGGTAGAAATCCATCAATGGACAGAAATCAAGCATTAGCTAGATGTCCGCCGAATGTCCGACAACAGGCAAAAGTCCGGCATCGGGTAGAAACTTGGCGACGAGCGGAGGTTCGATGTCGGGTAGAAGTCCGACGTCAGTTTGCGTCCGAGGAGAACTTCGGCGTCACTTGGAGTTCGGGTGAAACTCCATCGTCACTTGGAGGTCGGGCGGAATTCCGGCGGTTGTCGAGGAGTTTCTTCCTACTTATTCTTCTTCTCTTCTCCTCTTCTTGCTTAGGTCCCCCCTCAAGAGAAATAGTTGAGAGATCAGGGATAAATTGGGAGTGGTTGGATGGATGACTGATATTGAATCCCTTGATCGTGTACCGTTCGTCGAGCCGCCCGATTCGAATATAAGCACGTTATGTTTGGAAAGCATTTGGTAACTCAAATTATGGTTCAAACTTTCCAACAGCACTTCGGGTCCTTGATTTGAACTCAATTGAGCTCGTATTGAGTTGAATTGGGTGTCATTGGGTTCGTATTTCCAAGATGATCAGTTCGACTATAAGTATGCTGAAGTTGAAGTTGAGATGGTCTCCAAATTAATTTTTGAAGTTTTCAACTTGATTTTTGCTTCGAGATTTGTGCCCTATCAATATATTTTTTTTATGACATAACAATTATTTTTTTTTTCATGGACAATGGGACGTTATCTCCTTGAACGAGAATGTGTATTGGTTAGCAACAACCATTCACTCAGATTTCTGTAATCAGAAGAAAAAGTCTCAATTGTATATGCCTGACAGATTATATTCTTACAAAAACTTCACTTTTGTTTTTAAACAAAAAATACGTCTGTACCAATCAAAACGGAGAAATGATGTTACTCTTTTCATTGAGAAGTGTTAAATTGACCAGACATACAAAGCTGTATCATAAAATACAAGACTATATATGCATTTTCTTATCTATTTCTGATTCAATGTAGTACTTAGTCTTGACTCAAACTTGAAATAAAAAATTCGGATTTTGGTTGAGTCGTTTAATAAATAGGTCGAGTTTGGTTTATAATTCAGATTCATTTAATTAACGGGTTGAGTTTGGATTGCTTCCCTAACTTAATTTTGACCATAAAACCGGTCTAATTTTTTTCTTAATTTCTTTTTTTTTTTATATGCCCTTATTATTTTTGATCATTTAACATAAACTTTAAAGTTGATAAGTTATAAACAAATTTAATCTAAACTGGTAATTGAGATGGGTTCCAATCATTTGGGTTGCCAACATATTAGGTTTGGATCCACCTTTTTGACCCGTTTATTAAACGAATCGGATTTGGGTATATATATATATATATATATATATATATATATATATATATATATATAAATTCAACCGCATCCTTATAAAATCTTTTCAACACAGTCTCTTAATGTAACCAATTGCTTCGTTGGAAAAATATCGAGGAACCTTTCAAATATTAAAGAAATGACAAATTGAGTGGAAACGTGACTTCATTAATTTTGTTTTTCTCATTACATACTTACTAATGCCTACTACTATTTATAGCTTATGTAATGTATACTTGATGCATGTTTGAGTCCATAAATTACCTTGTAAAGTAAACATACGTGGTTTGGATGTTCATTTTCTTCGTATCCTTTCGACTGTTTCATATATATGGATGTACTTCCCATTTTTTATTGAGTGCAACTGTAAGTAAGATTCTTATGGTGGAAAATTTGTCTATCGGGCTAAATGTTTCCAGATAATTGATCACATACTCTTGTTTATGTCCTTGAGCTACTAATCATGCCTTGTGCCTGGCTATTAATCCATTTGAATTGAGTTTTGTTTTATACGTCCATTTACATCCGAGAATTGGAATGTTTGACAGGGAGGAACCAATGTCCAGGTTGCTTGTTTTTGTAAAGCAGAGAACTCTGTGTCCATTGCCTGCCTCCAATGTTGATATATGGATGCTTCCTGATATGTTGTTGGGTCAAGAGGAGTTTCATGCTGAGGTTGGGTTTGACGGTGTAAAAGGTTCAATATTGTTTTGGGGTTGAGAGATCCTGTTTTGAATCGGATTATCATTGGGTGTGTGGGTTGAGGTTACGGTGTTGGGGTTTGATGTGATGAAGAGGCTTGTGTGGAGTTTGATGAATCTGCAGTGGAGTTATTTGGTTTGATTGACATATGTGATGTAGTGGGCATATTGATATTGTTGTGATGTAGAGTGTTCTTGGTGTGAATAGTTGTGGGTATAAGTAGACGAGGATTGTCCAGGATTTGTGTCTAAGGTGACTATTTTGTTTTGGTTTGAGCAAAGGGAAATGTGGTTTCATGAAATGTGACATGTCTGGAAATTGTGATGTGATTGTTGATTGGCTTAAGGCATTTGTATCCCTTGTGGGATGTTGAGTAGCCTAAAAATATGTGTGAGGTTGCTTTGGGTTCAAGTTTGTGCCTGTGTGGTGGAGGAATCCACGGGAAGCAAGCACATCCAAATGTTTTTATGAGAGAATAATCAGAAATTTTATTGTATAGTATTTGAAGTGGAGATGAATTGTGAGTGGTATATAAATGGAGTCAGTTACTTAGATAAGATGCAGTCAAGACTGCATCTGGTCAATATGAATATGGAAAGATACCGAGCGGTACAGAGCAAGGGGGCGCTGCCCCCTGGCGGGGTTCGACCTGCCCGGTCAAGTCACAGGGTCAAGGGGCAGCTCCCCTGTCGGGGTTTCAAGGGGCAATTTTTTTTATAAGAGTAATTTTGAAGTGCTGTTTATTTTTAGTGTTATTTTTATGGAAAGATACCGAGCGGTACCGAACATGTTTTAGCTTCTTGGTGCCGCTTGGTACCATTTAGTACCCCTCTATACCGAGCAATATCAAGCGGTACCGAGGAATATCGAGCGAAACCGAGCAATACCGAGTTACAGTACCGAGCAATACTGAGATCCAATACCGAGCGGTACTAAGTTCCAATATCGAGCGGTACCGAGTTCCAATACCGCTCGGTACCGAGTAGTATCGAGCAATACCGAGTTACAGACCGAGCGGTACCGAGTTCCAATACCTAGCGGTACCGAGTTCCTGTACCACTCGGTATCGAGCAGTACCGAGCAATACTGAGTTCCAGTACCGTTCAGTACCAAGCGGTACCAAGTACAGAGTATCGAGTTCCGAGTTTTGATACTGAGCCTATGATTAAGAAAACGAAGAACGAAGAAAACGAACCTTCACTGCTCATGTTGCCTTCACTGTTCGCGTTGTCGAGCCGCTCCGTCGACGAAGGATGATCCTATCAACTTTAATGCTCGCGTCGTCAAGCCTCTTTATCGACAAAGGATGATCCTGTTTGCTTCTATGCTCGCGTCACCGAGCCGCTCCTTCAACTATAACGAAGAAGACGAATATATTTTGGAGTAAAAAATGAATTTTTTGGTTTGAGATTAATTTCCTAATTTTTTACTATTTGCTAAAAGTAGAAATTTTTTTTTAATTAGGAATCTTTTATTGCTGGAAGCGAAACGACTTCGACAACATTGGAATGGGCGATGGCAGAATTGCTTCGCAGGCCAGAACTGATGAAGAAAGCTCGAGAAGAGATCAAATCGGTCATCGGACTCGAGAGAGAAATAGAAGAGTCGGATATCTCAAAGCTACCGTTTTTCCAAGCAGTTCTGAAGGAGACCCTCCGTCTTCATCCACCAGCTCCGCTTCTGCTACCTCACAAGGTAGATGTGAGGACGGAGATAAATGGCTACCTGGTGCCGAAGAACAGTCAGGTGCTGGTGAACGTATGGGCCATAAGTCGGGACGAAAGAGTTTGGGAGAACCCGAATTGCTTTGTGCCTGAGAGGTTTATGGGAGAAACAGAGATTGATTTTCGTGGGCAACACTTTGAGTTCATACCATTTGGTTCTGGCCGAAGAATCTGTCCTGGATTATCATTTGGTGTTCGGATGGTTCAGCTCATGCTCGCCTCGCTCATTCAATCCTTTGAATGGAGTTTGGCTGATGGAATTCTGCCTGAGAATTTGGATCTCAAGGAGAAATTTGGCATCACGCTTAGCTTGGCTTCTCCACTCAAAGCCTCGGCTACTCCTGCAAGATAAATTTGAATACTAGATCGATGTTACAGTTCAATTAATCTTGGCTTTCCATTTCAGAGCTTCTAAAATCTAGTTTCTCTCATCGATTGTATCAGTACTATACTTGTATCCTTGGCTAAGGGGCTGTTTTGTTGGAATATAAAGGGGTGTAGAGTATTTCAAATGCATAGGTTTTGAAATTATGTTTGGTTGGAATATAAAGTGGAGCAAAATAAAGAAAATTAAATATAGTGTAAAACATTTTAGTTTATAGTTGAAGTAAATCAAACTTGTCCAATTTGGAGCGAAAATCATTTACAACACAAGTAAGCTCGCTTGATTGTCTTTCACCACCACCGCTCACTGGCCTAACCACCGCAAACCACCACCACCGCCAGTCGCCCCATCGCAGGCCACCATTGCCATCGCCGCTGGCTGTTGACCACCATCATCGTCGGCCAACGCCACCACCTACCGCCCGCCACTTCCACCACTACCACCTCTCCTGCTGACCGCCACCTTTTTCGGACTTTACACTACATTCATTATTTCAAAACAAACAAAAAATTCATTCCTTTGCGTTTACTTTATCTTCATCAAAATAATTACAAAATATTTATTTTATAGTACATTCCTTTTATGTTATTTCTTTTGCATTGCATTTATTTTTTAGCCAACCAAACAACCCATAAGTGAAGCGAGTTTGATCTCCAACAAAAAATCCCGCTCATGAATGGCCTCTATTATGTGTTCTAATCCACGACTCAAGCTCGCATTCCCGCGGGTTCTAAACCTTGCACGCCTGCGTTTGTTGATGTTCTCCCCTTTATCCACATGTTTGTGCCTTCTGCATTGCCTGCTCCTGCATGCTTGCGGCCCATGCATTTACTCCTGTGTGACATGCTCGCGCTCCAGCATCGAACACATTCCATCTTTCTAGTCATCCCTGAACACTCGTTCGCTTCGCCTTATGACTTCATACAAGCTACTTGTTTGATCCTGAGGTTCTTGATCTACTACTCTGACACATCAAATCCACTTGTTGGTTTGCCTACATTCAAACCAGGAAACTCGATCCCCCTAAACCAGTGACTTCCGATTATGCAAAACCCCTTCATGCATGCGTTCCAGTAGTCCAATTCGACGGACATGAATGTCAACCCTTGTAATCCCGACATTGGCGACGGACATGAATTTCAAACCTCGCACGGCTAAAATGCTCGTTGAACCGATGAAAGAGGAAGATGCCAAAGGATTTGGCATTCTCATATGAAAACGCCAAAAAATTTGGCAATCTCTTCAATTTTGTGAAGAAATTGCTAAAGTTTTGGCGTTTTCTTAAGAATAAGAAGACATGATTCTGCCAAATGTTTTAGCGAATATGCTCTTTTCTAAATTTTATCTTAATCACATTCCTTCTCCTAATTTAGGATTAAGGTACGCTCCTCTTAAAAAAAAAATCTATTTTTTTAAGGTTGTTTGGTTTGCTAAAAAATAAATGCATGATAAAGTATCATATAATACAATATAAAAAGAATGTAACACATTTAAACTATATAGATAAGTGCAAAATAAATTTAGATAATATCTATTATTTTGTATTTAATTTGTATTAAAATGAATGTACAATAAAGCTCAATTATGGTGGTGGAATTGCTGCCGATCAAGGAGTGATCGGGACCGTGGCCACTAGCTCTAGGGCCAGCGACAATGACCAGTGGCATGTGGTGACAGGCAGTGGCTAGCCATGGCTGACAGCTGGCAATAATAACAAAATCAGCTTGTAGTGGAAAAATGAAGTTTACTAACAAAGAAAGCTGTGCCAAGACAACTTTTTTTTTCCTTTATAAAGAAGCTTTCTAATATATTTTTTTTGAATTAAAAATTTTGTATCAAAAATCATTTTGAAAAGCAATAAAAAAAAAATTATGAAAAGAAACCTAGGTCTCAACCATAAATCATAAATTTTAAATTCATATAAAATTTCATAAGGAAAGATGCAGTCGCACTCATGACAGTGCATCTGTATAATGACAATAAGACAATGATTTATTATTAAAAAAATTATTTCTTAAGATCATAAAACCAAATCAGAAGCTTTATAATTTATCGTCCTTCAACTAAAAAAAATGATTAAAAAAAAACTGTGGCTATAGTCCCACATCAAATAGGGCCAAACGCAGCCTCAAGTTGTAAGAAAATAATAAAAACAATTATTGCATATCAACAAATTTCATAAATTTGTGAGTAATAGAAAATATTAAAATTTGTCGGCTATGACGAACTTGTATGCATCTTCATCTTCCTTCCAAGGCCACAAAATCTTCACCAATAGAAATGCATGAGATTAGAAAATATATTAAAATATACTCACAACATTGACCAAAACTTACCTATGAGAAAATAATTAGGTATAGCTAATCTTATGTAATTAAGGCTTCATTTAAGAATTTTTTTTTTTATATTTTCCAAATAATTTTTCTCCACAAAATTTTTTAAACAAAAAAAAAATTATACTAAAAAATTAGTTTAAAAATAATAAGAAAATTATATCTCATAAGATGCCTAATATCTCTTTCACCAGAATAGATCAATTCAAAATTGTGCGACCTTGTTAAAGTTGGACAAGGCATCCAACGGTACTTAGCTTGGTTGGTGGACATGTACGGTTGGGAACCTCCAACTCATGCTCGATTCCCATCGAGCGACAGCGCCTCTTAAGTGGGGCACAATCAAGTGCGGGCTAGGAAATTTCTGGGATGGGTGCCACTTCAAGGTCAACCAAGAATTAATCACGCCGCCAAACACCTTTTCCAAGTCGGCAATCCAATACAAAAAAAAGGGATATAATAGTGGACCCAATGCTTAAGCCATGAACGATTGAGAAACCGAGTAGAAGAGGGATATAATAGAAACTCAAACCGTATTATAAGCTTCCAATATACGATTTTAAGTAGAGCAGCTTCATTTTGCTACAAATGAATGTTGGCATCAAATCTCCTTTTATTTCTTCTTTCTAAATATGATATAGGAGCAACAAAGAATTAAATGAAAAAACTTAGGCATATCTAAAATATATTGCATCAATTATAGCAAGTTCGGTCGCATGAGGAAACAATTTTACCAAGGAAGGCGGGCACTGAGAATAGTAAAAGAAGAAATCACATTCGAAAAGCAAATGCACAAATGTTTCAGGTGAAGCAAGTTCAACAGCACAATGTGCAAATAACTGTGTAATATGTTTTAATAAACTTGAGCTTCTTGAAAGCATTATGCCTCATCGCAAGTGATTCGTCTCAAAAATCTCACCTTGAGGAGATAAGTTGAATGTAAGAATATAAGTCATTTTCATTATTTTGATGCCAATTTCATTTGAAAGACAATAAATCATATCAATATTATTCTTATTAATCCTAAGGATGAACATTCAATTCAACAAAATAGATGTTAGTGAGATAGTTGCCTACAATGTGGTATATTTAGGTCGCAAATTTAAAATATAGCAATGTTTGCAGCTAGGTCAATCATAGGCAGCATTTTCTTGACCATGATTTTATCAACAAATAGTACCGTTTTCATCACCCATTGATAATACTTTCAGAAAATTCAAATAAAGATTGTAATACATCAATAAGAATAAATTTTTGTTGATTTACTTTAAAGTTTTTAGATCTATAATATTTTTCTAGATAATTTATGGATAATGTTTCCTCTTCGATCATGATTGTCATGCCTTTTGATGGCCAATATATATGACATTAATAGTAGGGCCAACATATATGACATTAATAGTAGCACAAGTAACATAAAACAATTATGATTATGTTAATAGTGATTGTATCTCTTGCCATCATGTGAAAGAATGATGATTCTCTTCTCCAATCCATGACTATCTTGCTTGCTACAACAACCAAGTGGAACATGTTGCATACCATGATTGTATCACAAGCCTCCACTCAAAAACTATACAATGTTCAACTCTCACACATAATCATCTCACTCATCATAATAATGACATCAAATGCACCTCATATGGTAGTTTAACATCATCAACTCACATCTCACTGTCTTCAAATCAAGTCATTACTAAAAAGGTAAGTTCTAAACACATTTAAATACTCCAAAATTATGCATCCATCATTCTTATATATGGACTATTAGTGAACTTTACACTAACAATGGGCAAACCAAGTTACTTTTAGCATCCAACATATTTCGTAGCCATAATACTAGAAAATGTAAAATTTATTAAAATTGAACAAACATTTTCCTACCATATCAATCAACTTTAATTCATCAGGAAATCATACAAGAAATATACCTCATTCAACGAAGTGATTGAGTTATAATTTGTAAGCAACATGTGATTTTTATGAAGTTTTTCCGGTGAGCGAAAGGTAAGACTTTAGAAAACTCCCACATAAGAGCAAAAAATAGACTTAAAAGATAATGCCTTTGGATGCTAATTAGTTTCACTGATAAAATTTGTAAAAATTGTTACCAATATTATTTAATCGAGTTCTTCTAAAATCAAATTAATGTTTCAACATTTAAACTTCTCCAAGAAATAAAATGTGAACCTTTATAAATTTATTTCATTACAATCCAAAATGTCCTTTAAAGTTCAAGTCTTCTATCAGTATCATATGCAGAGAAGCATCAATCATATGCTTACTATCTACTACATGTCCTATCCTATCATGAAAAAATTGCCCATGACTAATTTCATGTCACTAAAAAAATTACTAATACATGTACGTTGAATGTAAATTTATCAAGGGCAATACCTGAGCCTTATAAGATTGGCTATGAAATATAGAAAAGGAGAACTAGCAAGAGGCAAAAGAAGAATTCTATTTTGTACCCAAATCTTACTTGCAACATTTTTTTTTTTTGAAACAAAATATTAGAATTAAAAGTTAAAGATACACCGCAAGATCACGAGAGGGCCACATCATGGGGGTTACAATCAACCAAAAATAAAAATCAAAATCGGATCCAAACGGACTCAGGCCGACACCCAGTTGGTAGGGAGGGCCATCCAAGGAGGATCAAATAATGTCCCAAGAAACTGTTAGACCGGCCCAGGATGGGCCGGTTGGACCGGTCCAGCAGGGACCGGTCCGCGTCTACGCGAGACGCTCGCGAGAAGACGCGGACGGGCGCAAGATCACGAGAGGGCCACATCATGGGGGTTACAATCAACCAAAAACAAAAATCAAAATCGGATCCAAACGGACTCAGGCCGACACCCAGGGAGGGCCATCCAAGGAGGATCAAATAATCTCCCAAGAAACCAAGCCAACAAGCATCAAACACCAGACCACCATGGTTGCCCAACCCTGACCATCATAAGTGCATGCAGAATGATTGTTTTCTCATAGTTCAAATCCAAAATAACGACGGCAGCCAAAACTGAGAAAAGACAAAAACCACAACACGAAAATAGGCACGAGAAATCATTTCTTCTTAGATTTCCTTTTACGATTCCTAACAAAAGTATCCAGTCAGTCAGTTTCCAAAAAGCTATCAAAAGTATCATCCCCTTCAGCAAACGACAAATCATCATGAAGCCAATCGCATTGCCACCGAACACTGTCCCTAGCAAGATGAGCTCGCAATTTAGCATTCAAAATAATAGCAATAGGCACGTCCACCAGAGGGATGTCGCCAACCTCCCCTGAGTTAACCAAGGACACATCACCACCATCAGCTAAAAAATTAGAACTAGTATCCGAAGACTCCACACCATCAGTAGGAGAGGGACTCACTCTAAAATTAACACATCAATTGCTATCTAACAAAACCACACTACCATGAGCCACAATAGGAGGACCCTCACCCATACCAGCACCACAAACTCCAACCGGTGAGCCACCCGAACAAGTCGTAGCAATAGAAATAGGGACAGCAGGAGACTGAATTAAGCAAGACTGAGTAGAAACAACACAAACTCCAACATCACCAATAACCATACCACCCATAAAATTAACAAGCAAAGAGACAGGAGACACAACCACATGACTCTCCAGGTAACCAACAGGATTCAGAGACGGTAAAACAATAGGAGATAGAACAGCTACATTAGGACTAGAATTGATAAGAGCAGTATCCCCTAAATCACCAACAGCATTCCCTGAAACCTACCCAGCATTCTCCAACACGATAGGAACATCAACAACCTCCACCCTAGGCACAACAGGAGGTAGAGAAGAGGGAGAAGATAAATTCAATTCCTGTTATATTAGACAGTTCAGTTGAAAGGAAAGGACGATATTTCCCAGTCACATGACCAATGCATTTACAAGAAACACAAAAGGGGGGAATTCATCCAAAAGAACATCTTGCACATACCCTAAACTTTTAGAACCTAACCAAACCTGGTTTGGATAGGATTTAGTTATATATAGCTCCACCAGTACACGAGCCATGGAAGGCCGAGATCCTGCAGAAGTAGCCGCATCAATTTTCAGAGGTTTACCAAAAATCGCTCCCAATCCATGAAATATACAAGGGGTATATAGATGAGGATGCAATTGCGGAAAAGAGACCCAAATCGAGATGACAAGCGACTCAACACCAACATCCAAGCTGGGAGAATTTCGTGAGTTTCATGTAACAATTGAAAATTAGGTAGGATCTATGACAAAATACCCTACAGTAATCAAGATCATTAGCTAGTTTAATCAGAATATGCGATGAGTCAAGCAAGGTGACCAAAACTTCACCGTTCAACTTTAGGTTAAAGAATAATTTGCGAATGGAATCAAGAGAGGGCCGCTTAGAAGGGACAAATCCAACTAAAGAAAATTGAAACGGGATGACCAAATCATTGATTTCCTAGTCAGAAATCTAAAGTGAAGGCAAGCCACGAAAAGTTGAGGTCCGCAGATCCGAAAATGAAGTAACCAAATTGGAACCAAGCGCTTTCAAAAACGAGTGTGAATGATACGAACCCCCTAAAAAATCGGGGTCGCACAACCGATTCGGCGCCAGTCTGACACATGCCGGAGAAAGAGACTGAAAACAAAGCGAGAAAACCCTAAACCAAATAATACACAAGAAAGGCAGAGAGCAATTCCCCGAAAATCACCAAGATCACCGAAAGAAAAAATGACTTCTAATATATGAACCATCTAGTTGGGAACCAAAATAATAGCTATCCTCATTCATTTTCGTCATTTTTCTTTCAGCTATTTTCTTTTAAGGTGACATACTTCTTTAAATATAGCATATTCTTTTTTTTACTTCGCCTTATACTTTATCACATGCTCCAACATTTATGTGTAAGTCATCTTTCAATCTATTAACATCCCTAGAAACTCACTTGTTACAAAATTTAAAAATTAAGTAAACAAATATCTTATTTGCATGTTCTCCTAACAGTTCAACTTGAGTGTCATATTTATAAATTAAATCTTTTCGCCTTGTGCTATCACTCATTGTAATAAGCCAAAAAAAAAAAGAATAGGAGAAACATTCAATAAAATAAAAAATAAATTTAATAGTAAATTACTTAAATAATAGTATTAGAATACATAAATCCACGCTAGAATGTCATGACAAAATTAACCATTGAGTCAACGACATATCCATCACTTTTTACCTTAGCAACACTGCTGCAACTGCATTCCATGAACCAGACGGTACAAAAGTGGGATATCCAATGCCACTAATCTGTTTTCACGTTGGCAGGCACTTCAATTGCCTCTTTTGTATCCAGGTTTTCTCTTGAAGCTTTTGGCATGTCATGTTTGCCTTCTGCCTTACAATAGATAACCTTCAAAACATCATTTACCAAAAAATCATTTTCGAAATGTTTGATTCTGAATCCTCTTATGCAATCTGTAACCTTGTTTCATCACTACTAGTAGAAACCAACAGCCCCTGCATTCCATACTAACAATAGATAAATCAGAAAAATCAGCATCATAATCAAAATGATCTGTTCGACTCTGAATCCTCAGACGCATCTATAGTATAGAGGTCCATTGCTAATTCTGCATCACATCAAGACAACTCTTTTCTCTATCACCTACAACTCTACAAGTCGTGCCTTATTAGCAGCAAAATGCCACCATGATGTTTGCATCCTTAAATTGGAAATCTTCCAGCAAAGGTCTGCATACTTGAGTTAGAGAGAACCATGTTTTTCCTCAACAAGATCTTCTAACAGGATTAGCACATTTTTCTCTCTACCTCAGCCTCCGATTTAGGCTTCGTTTAGGATGGCTTTCTTGCTGCTTCTTAAAGCAACTTCTTAGTTCAATAATTAACTTTTTTGTACAAGAAAACTGTTTTAAGAAACAACAAAAAATTCGTCCCAAACGAAGCCTTAAAGAAACAGAACAGATGACTATCTGCAACGGATGACTATCTGCAACTACCAAACCAACTCTGCTTATTTCAAAACAAGTTCCCACCTTCGCCAGGTTCTGTTACATATTCCCTAACGTGAGTTCCATTGTTATTTACACTAGAAGTATCAGATGGCTGAGAATCAGAGAAGTTAGTTTCTACGGCTATCAAAAAAGCTCGTTATTTGGGAACAGCGCATGTTGAATTGAACACGAACAGATATTTGGTGCTCTAATTTTGAAGTAGTCATACGCTTAAAAAAGCTCTATTCTATCGTGTACTGCTCGTATGGACTCGAAATAGTTATTTATTTATAATGTAAGATATTAAATAATTTATTATTAGTTTTTCTTACTTGTTATTGAAACGCTTTCACAAAATTAATCATTTAGAAAGGCATCTTTCAGTACTCCAAAATAGCACATGAAAATAAAAAAATAATAATAATGAACCTCACATATTCCGAAACTGGTGTAGCCTCTTTCTTCTTTGAGTCTTCAACAAAAAGATTATCACCAGTTGTAAATTTAACTGTACTTTTTTAATCCTTAGTAAGATTTTCTCTTCTGAAAGTCCTAAAAATTTACTTGATCCATCAGGGCCATTACCTTAGGATGTGTATCATGCTAAAAAAGTCTTATGAGTAATGCTAAACAAGTCTTATGGGTAATTATGCATATTTTCAACTCAGATCAGGAAATGTAAGCCAAGATGTGTTTGTTGACCTACAAAAAAGCACCTATAACATCTTCAAGAAATACAGCATACAATGCAGAGCAAGGTTTATTCAACTATCTGCAGTGGTTAATGCATCTTGAAAGATGTAAATAAGGGTTCACCCATACTCAGTGACAACTATTCATCAATTTAAAAAAAAACAAATATGTCCAGAATCGTTCTTACTTTTCGAATAACCTTAGCAGCAAAAGATGTCAAACCCAAACCCTAAAACCCAATGAGCTATCCTAATTGATATATCATCAAAAAATTATCTTGATCTGGCATGAATCTCAAGGAAAAATTGAGTTGAAAGCTTCCAAAACTAAATTTGGGACCATCGAAACACCGATTCCAACAAACTTACAGTCGAGTTGAACGTCTCAAAAATATGAACCCAACTACGCCAAATTCGACTCCGTCCGAGCCCAAATTGGTCCAAATAGAACACCTGAAGCCCCTTTGGAAAGTTCAAACCATAAATTGGATGACCAAATGATTTCCAGACCAGACATGCTTGTACTTGAATCGAGCGGCTCGATGAGACGAATCCAAGAAGCCCAAGATCGTCAAATTCTGATATCATTAAGACATTCAAATGCCTAGTAAACGGTCCACGATCAAGGAGATCAATATCGGTCGTCCATTCAAACCACTCCTAACATACCCTTAATTTACCTCCTATTTACTGGTCATGCCACTCTCAGAAAATTATAAATAGAAGGAAGAGAAGAAAGAGAGAGAAACTAGAATTCTCTTGCCACCAGACTCCTCATCGACCACCGTTGAACCACCGACTGCCGCCGGATCTGTGGCTGACTTATTTTCCTTTATCGTAGTATAGTGTTGAGGGCCCAAATTATTCTAACCACTCCCCCCTGTTTTTCATAATAAACCTAAAGCCAATAGCTCCCATAGGTTTCTTTTTAAGAAATTTTAGCTTAAATATCCTACTTTTTGGGATGCCTTGAACGCCTCCCTTTCTCACTCTCATTCAGGAAATCCTATTTTTTGCTCTTTACTCGAAGAGCCAATCACTCAAGAAGGCCATTAAAAGTAAATCATGGGCATCCTCCAATCACTTAACATCCAACATTTCAAATCTCCAAAAGCAGCAATATATGATTCTTCAGCAAATTCAATTGGATCCACTAATCATGAGCTTAAGTATAATCAGAAAAATATAAATTGTCTTCTCTCTGCCTCTTATCCCTCCTGGTCTTCTTGGGTGCTTCAAAGATCTAGATTCAAATGACTTTCTAGTGACGAGGATGATTTGCAATATCTATATAGCAGAATTAAATCAAGGAAAAATTCTAACCATATCAAAGAAATTTCAACTGCTGATGGTCAAATTTCTTAGCAAAGTGAGATTTGCAATGCAATCATTAATCATTTTAAAGGACTTTTCAATTCTTCTAGTAGGTGTCTCGAAGATTTATCCTTCATTTTGGCTGGGAAAACTGCCCCCTAACACCTTCTTCCATCTCTCATTGCTCTTGTCACTGAAGATGAAATCAAATCTATTATTTTCTTTGCTTCCCAATTCTCTGTGCCTAGTCTAGATGGTTTCAAATTTGAATTCTATAAATCAGCTTGGGGTAGCATTAGCTACTGTGTTTACAAAACGGTTAAACATTTTCTTTTCTAATGCTTACTTGCTAGATAGGGTTAAAGCAACTATTTTATGCACAATTCCTAAGAGTTCTCATGCATCCAATATTTCATATTGCAGGCCTATTTTTTTATGTGATACTTTCTATAAAGTTATTGGAAAGATTCTTACTAATAGATTGAGCCCGGTTATACCCCATATCATCAATTTAGCTCAGGTTAGCTTTATTCAAGGTAGAAGCTCTACTAACAACAATTTGCTTGCTTCTGAGTTGTTAAGGAATTTATCTACTCCTGGTAGCAAAAAGCTTTTCTATGTCAAATTAGATATTTTTAAAGCTTTTGACATGGTTTCAAGAAATTTCCCTATTCAAAAAGGTTCAAATAGTTTGCCGCCTCTTTTGGTCTCACGGATTTAAACCTGTATTTTTCATATTAAATTTTCCATTTGCATCAATAAGACTTCACAAGGTTATTTTGCATCTAATTCTTTCCTTAGACAAGGATTTCCATTATCTCGTTATCTCTTTTGCATTGTGATGGATGGGTTGTCAAACTTTTTGGATAATCTTGCTGAACCTAATTATTTTACTTTTATGAGTTGGGAAGCAACATAATTCTCATCATTTATGCACGGATGATCTCCTCATTTTTGGTGAGAGCTCCATGAATAATGCTTCTGTGCTGTTGAAAATTCTGAAAGATTTTGGAGCTGCTTCTGCTCTCTATATTAATCCTAGGAAAAGCTGCATTTCCTAGTGAGATTTTAAGTATTTTCAATGTTGAATTGACTTTCAAGTACTCGGGCATTTCTTCAAAGAGGCTTTACATTACTGATTTCCAGCCCTTCTACTCACAATTTACAAACAAAGAACCAGATGACGTGCACAGGTAACAATGCCTTCACCTATCGTCCAAAGCCATATCTTGTTACAAATCCTGAAGTCAAAACTACAGGACAATTTCACCCAAATACAGCTTCAATGATGATGTCAAAGAAGCATATTTTTGACCAAAAGCCAGAATTTTCTTAAGAAGACTTCCAGCCTCTAACACAAGGGACGGATCTAAATGCCATAAACTAAAAAGTACCGTTCTTTGTGGAAAGACAACCAAGCCCTAATAGCGGGCCGGTCGACCGCGTTTCATCCTGCTGCAGTGCTACAAGTAGCAAAGCAACGTAGAAGCATCACGAATGGGTTTCAATACCTGGATCAAACAAAGGGTGTAAGAAATCAGGGGAACGATACCTGAGAACTGTCTATTCTCTCTCTTCCTCGGGTCTCCGCCAACGCGATCGTATGCTTCCCTGGCCTCACCCTTCTATTCTTCTTGCGCTTTCACGTTTACCATCAACGACCTTTAAGCGATTACCAGGCCGGCAACTCCTTCCTTGCACAGTTTTCTTGTCTGTCGCAGCTATCCTGTTGCTTCTACTGATTTCCCGCTTTCCTACTACTGGCTCGCCATCTTCTTCCCGCTACTTGCATATGACTTTATATATGCCAGTGAACTCAGTCGACATTATGCCAATCAAAACCAAGATATTACTATGTTGCCCTTAGGGCATCTCCAACCGAACTCCATGTCATTATTTTCCAATCGAACGGCAAAAGGGATGTCATTTTCTCGTTCGTGAAAAGTGCGATATCAATATTGACGTCACACTATTCACAAATGCATTTTTGGCGAAAACAAAGAAAGCGAAGGGGGGAAAGACTTGCACGTGTGGTTGAGAAAGAATATACACATAATATTTTTTTTATGTTAAGAAATAGAATTTGGTTGAAAATGAATTACTATATTTTGAAGTATTATTGCAATTTGGAGTGGAAAATGAGTTTTTTGGTTGGAGATGATCTTAGTTGCTACCATTTCTGGTTCGGCTTCTGGCTATTGTTTTGTGCGTCGTGTTCTAGGTCCAGTCTTCCTACTGATTTAGGGTGATTCAAATTTTAAATTTTAAATTTATTTTACTCAAATAAAATTGACTTGAATCCATGTGATTAATTTAAGCTAAATTTTTAATTGATTTAAATAAATTCAATTAATTTTATTTAAAATCATCATTTATGATTATTAAATTTATTAAAAATATTTAAAATACAGAAATAATGGAGAACTTCTGTGATTTTTGTATCCGAAAAATATAACTTGATAATTTTATCTAAGCACATTTAAAAAAAGAAAAAATTTGGAATAATTTTGTATCCATTTTGCTTATATATTTGAGAGAGAAGATATGATTAGTTTCAATAGAATAATAAATTTGCAACTAAAATATGCTCTGATTAGATCAATTGTTTGATATTCCTACCGCTGGATAATAATAGAAAATTTTGGTTCTCATACGTCGTCATGAAATCATCTTGATCGGGCACGAATCTCGAAGCAAAAACCAACCAGAAAACTTCAAAAATTAAATTCAGGAGCACCTGAACTCCGATTTCAGCGAGCTTATAGTCAAACTGAGCGTCTCGGAACTATGAACCCAATGACACCAAATTCAACCCAATCGAGCCCAAATGGGTCCAAATCAAGGACTCGAAGCGCTGTTGGAAGGTTCAAACCACAATTTGAGTTACCAAATGGTCTTCGATTTTAACGAACTTATACTCGAATCGAACGGCTCGATGAGACGAATCTAACGAGCCCAAGATCACCGGATTCCGACATCACTAAGGCCCTCAAATGTTCAACAAATGGTGAACGATCAAAGGATTCAATATCAGCCGTCCATTCGGCCACTCCCTATTTGCCCATGATCTCACACCTATTTACGTGCTATGCCACTCCAGAAAAACTATAAATAGACCCCTCAATCCTCATAAGGGAGGAGGGAAAGCCAGAAAAAGAGAAGAAGAAGAGAAGAGCGAGGAGAATCAGCTCCCCCTCGACCACCGCCGGAGTTTTTCCCGCCGCTTAAATACACCAGAATTCTGCCGGAATATTCGGGAGACGCCAACGTTCTGCAAAACTTTGTTTCAATTCAGAAGAAAATTATTGTAATCTGATCGTCCTGACTTTTGGGACGGATTAGCTTCTTGTAATTCACGCAGTACTAGTGGAACTTTTTCAACTGGGCGCGGCCCCGTGGTTTTTCCCTTTTTAAGGGTTTTCCACGTAAAAATCATGGTGTTCATTTTTTCCTTTCCTGTTTGCGTGTGCTGAATATTCGTACAACGCTCGGACGTGAAATTACAAACTCTACCGCCGCATATATTCTAGCCCGCAACAGGTTCTTTTTTTTTTTATAATCTCTATAGAGAATAGAATAGAAAATTTTCGTTCTTAAATAGAAGGTTGATATTATTTAAAAAGTTTATGTGATTGATATATGAATAAGTTGATGGCTTGAAGTTGAACAGATTACAATATGGTGCTTATAATATTAATTTTCTCTTTGAAAGAAGGCATATATTATAATCTTTATAATTATTATATAAAATTTTTATTATTTATGAGAAGATTTTGCTCAAATTATTTCATGAAATATAAAAATAATCTTTCATTCCTTATATTTTCGTACTTTTAGAAAATTAATTGTTAGTTTAAGTAAATTTCATAAACTTGTTTAAGTAATTATATATATGTTTTTTTATGAATTATCATTGATTTCCTATTTAATTGAAGTAAAAAATAAATATGGACATTTTTTGTCTTTTAAAAAATAAAGCATATACGCGAAAATTTTAATAAAAAATATATTTATATTTATATTTATATAGCATATGTTTTATAGATTTAACCAAATCAACTCTTTTTTTTTTTTAATAAAGAAAAGTAAGTGAGAGTATGCTTGTCAATAAATGAGCTGTTCCAACAATCAAATCAAAACAAAAATCTAATTTTTTTTTTTTTATATATATATATATATATATAATCTATTTAAATGTGTAAAAAAAAAAAGTTGAGAGAGCTTCGGCACCAACCACTCTTACAAAACAAACATCAACTTTCTAAAACAACTGTACAGGACATCGACCCAAAATGTCACTGTTAACGGCCATTTCGCCGATAATTGCGAGCATGGGGCCGTCGGCAAGAAGTCTCTTTCTCGAGTCGGAAAGTAGGTCCGTCCACAGCCGTACGCCTATTATATTGAACATGATTGTATTGAATTGTGAATTGAATTGTTGTGACACAATTACGAGGCAACACCTTTTTATTTATTTATTTATTTTGGACATTTAAGTCATTTAACACAAATTCACACACACAACACAGACAAATAGACTCTGGAACATAGATCTCTTAGTTGAAAGCCTAAGCTCTCAACAAATAAGCAAAGGAGACCTGTGTACGAGGCAACACCTCATTTATGTGAATTGTCTAATAGAAGAATAAGGAAACAATCTCATTTACGTGACAGTCTGAAAAAAAATAAGGTAAAGTTTATTATTTAGATGCCATATTGTAAGCGAAAGCTTAAAAAGGAAATTGAGTAAAATGAAAGGGAAAGATATCTGGAATTATATCAGAATGTATAATACAGGGTTGAGCCTTGTTATATAGGCATATAGGCTTGAAATGGAACCGTACATCAAGAATTGGAAATGACATAAATGTAAACCAACTATTGGGACCTAATTCCACCTGTACACATATGCTAACATGCCCCCTCAAACTAATCATCCTTTGAACGGATGTTTAGTTTGTTTCGTAAGTGGAGAAAACGTTCTTTGGGTAGAGATTTGGTCAGTATGTCTGCTATCTGATGGGCGGAGCTGATGTGAATGATATTGAGATCGCCGGCTTTGATATGATCGCTAATGAAGTGATAGTCGATCTCTACGTGCTTTGTCCGAGCGTGGAAAACCGGGTTGTTGGCGAGAGCGATGGCTGAGGTGTTGTCGCAGTGTAGAGGAGTCGGTCCGATTTGAGGTATGCGAAGTTCGGCCAGCAGCCGCCGAAGCCAGATCACTTCGGATGTTGCAGATGTGATCGATCTGTATTCAGTTTCGGTTGACGATTTGGCGACCGTGACTTGCTTTTTCACGGATCAAGAGATGATTGTATTGCTGAGAAAAGTGCAGAACCCGGTAATTAACCTTCGATCCGAGTTGTCTGCAGCCCAGTCTGCGTCGGCGAAGGCACGAAGCTGTAAGTCACCTGGATCTATTGGAATGCCGAGATCGGTAGTCCCTTGGACATAGCGGAGCAGACGTTTGAGTGTTTGGAAATCATCAACAGATGGTTTGTGCATGCGTTGACAAATGTAGTTAGTAGTGAATGCAATATCAGGTCTAGTGATAGATAGGTATTGAAGCGAACCTGCAATTTTTCGGTACAGCTGAGGGTCGGAGAATTCTTCTGTGCTGGCAAAGCCAGTGGAACGTTTGAGCGACATAGGTGTGAGAGCAGCTTTGCTGTTGTTGAACCCGACTGATAGAAGAAGTTGCTTGGCGTAGTGGGTTTGATTAAGGAAGTAGTCTGTTTTTGTTTTGGCAACCTGAATTCCTAAAAATAGAGATATGTCACCTAATTGTTTGAGATTAAATTTGGAATGTAATTGACGTAAAAGATGTGCGATTTGAGACTTATCGTTTACGGTGACCAATATGTCGTCGACGTATATAAGTACAAACAGCCTCGTGTTGTCTTTTGCGTAGATTAGTAAAGATGGGTCAGCCTTGCTAAAGATGAAGCCGAAGGCTTGTAAGGTCGTTGTGATTTTGCTGAACCACTGTCTTGGAGACTGTTTAAGTCCGTAGATGGACTTGTGGAGCTTGCACACGAAGTCCGGATGTGTAGTGTCGTCGAACCCTGGTGGCTGCTTCATATAGATATCTTCTTGAAGATCTTCGTGGAGGAATGCATTCGATACGTCGAGTTAGAGAATGGACCATTGTTGATGAAGAGCTAGTGTGATTAGAACACGAATTGTCATCATTTTGGCGACAGGGCTGAACGTGTCAGTGTAGTTAATGCCGAATTCTTGAGAACATCCAAGGGCGACGAGACGGGCTTTGTATTGAGAAATGGTGCCGGAGGGATGACGTTTAATCCTGAATGTACACTTGCAACCAATGACCGGTTGGTGGGGTGGACGGGGTACAAGCGACCATGTAGATTGGTTCTGAAGAGCCTGGTGTTCTGCGGTCATTGCTTTGCGCCAATGTTCATGTTTGATCGCTTGAGCAAAAGAGTTAGGAGGTTCTTCGAGTGTCGAGATGGCCGAGAGATCGAAGATCTTCTTTGGTTTGGTGATACCCGTCATAAGCCGTGTGTTCATTTTGTGTGTTCTAGCTTGCGGAATTGGTACAGATGCAGGAACGGTTGGACTTTGTGTCCTGGTTGGAGAGGGTGCTGGATGAGGATTTTGTTGAGTGATGTTGGTGTTTGGTTGAGGTGGAGGTTTGGGTAGGTTGTGGATCGTTGCAGAGGCTGGGGTAAGAAGAAGTGGTGATTGATGTAATGGTTGTGGAGTGACCTGTCGCGGTGGATTTAAGTTCTGAAATGGAAAGATACTTTCGCAAAACGTGACATGTCTTGATATATAAATTCTGTTAGATTGAATATCGAGACATCTGTATCCTTTGTGGGTAGTGGAGTATCCGATAAACACACATTCTCTGGATCTCGAGTCGAGTTTGCTGGAGGTGTAGGGCTTCAACCACGAAAAACAAAAGGCATCCGAAGGTTCGGAGATGCGAATATGAGGGGTGCCGTCCATGAAGCAGAAAATAAGGACTGTTGGGAGTTGTAGCTTTGCTTGGTATGCGGTTTATAAGGTAGTGAGCTGTTGTTAAAGATTCTGCCTAGAATTTTTGTGGAAGACTTGCAGCGTGTAGAAGAGTCCTTGTTATGTCGAGAAGATGTCTGTGTTTTCTCTCAGCCATACCGTTTTGTTCGAGAGTATGCGGGCAGCTGAGTTGCCGAGTGATCCCTTGTTCGATAAGATAGTCAGTGAATTGTTTGCCAGTGAATTCGCCTCCGCCGTCGGAGCGCAGGTTTATGATATTGCTGTTAAACTTATTGTGAATAACAGTGCATAAATTTTTAAATTTTGACAAAAATTCAGATTTAGCTGTCATCAAATAAAGCCAAGAGTTTCGTGTAAAATCGTCAATGAAAATCACATAATATCTATAACCGTTCATAGATTGACAAGGTGCCAGACCCCATACATCCGCATGAACAAGCTGAAATGGTTTATTGCTAACAGACGAACTACTAACAAAAGGTAGTTTATGAGATTTAGACACTTTGCAAGAAATACAAATGTTTGAAGAATCAGAAAAATTGCGTAAATTCGGAATAAAATGGACAAGAGACGAGAGAGATTGCTGGTTCGGATGCCCAAGACGAGCATGCCACAGAATATCGTTGCGATGCCGAACGTGAAGAGCAGAATTAACGAATGCAGTGGGGGCTTGAATTTGATACAGCCCGTTATGGTTGCGACCACGAAGAAGTTGCCGATTGTCATGAGAGTCCTTAATCACAAAACCATTAGCGTCAAAAAGGATTGAAATCTTGTTATTGGTTGTTAGTTTGTATATTGATAAGAGATTATGAGAGATAGAGGGAACGTGTAAAATATTGCGAAGGTTTAGCTTACGAGCGGACTCCGGTAGAGGAAGAAGTCCATTTCCAGTGTGTTGGATAGGAATTGTGCTACCGTTTGCCACCGAAACCAAGTCGAGCCCATTGTAAGAGGATGTATTTGTCAGGTTGGAGAGATCTGGAGTCAAGTGAAAGGTGGCTCCGGAGTCAAGAATCCACTCCGTGTTGTTCGAGGACGGTTGTTTCTACGTGTAGTATGCTCTGGAATTCGTCGAGGATGAGGGTACATATTGAAGATTGCATCTATTCCAGTAGTTGGGCGCAGTGTGACCAGTCTTGCTGCATATTTGGCATATCGGTCTTGGAGTGTTAGGTGGATTTCGAAGCTGAGATGGATTGTTGTTGGAATTGGACTGCCCGTTCTGGTTCTTTAGTTGTGATCTGTTGAAGCGGCCACGGGTAGATTTGTTCCGAACAGACATCAGTGTCGTATTGTTTGACGGCGGGTTGAGATCTTTGTAGTTTTCTTGCTGAATATTTATCTCTTCGCTGACTAGAAGAGAGTAGAGAACATCCAAAGAGATTGGATGCTGAGAAGTTCGGATTGCTATCTTGAAGGGATTGTAGATGGCTGGAAGTCCGTTGAACGTATAAAGGATTATGTCTTCGGTGTCGAGCGTGGAACCAGCGGCAGCGATGTTGTCAACTAGGTTCTTGATTTGAGTTAAGTATTGTTGCATAGTCTTGTCTTTCATTTGAACCTGATGGAGTTCGTTCTTAAGCTGGATCACCCTGGATCGATTTGTTGGTTGGAGTCGTGTTTCAAGAATCAACCATATCTCATGGGCGGTAGATAAAGTGATCACATAGGGAAGAACGACAGCGGAGATTGTAGAAAAGATTGCGGAGATGAGATTCCGATCTATGAGATTCCATAGACGGTGATCATTCACGGCGGAGACGGGAGGGCACGGGTTTGTGCCGTTGAGGCGCCCTGTGAGACCTCGTTCCCTTACTGTTCCTCTCTGATTTGGATTTTCCTCTCAGGATCGTCCAGGACGATTTGAGATCGTCCAGGCCGATCGGCACTGTAGAAAATATCGGCCTGCAGATAGTTCTGGGAACCGTCCAGGACGATTTTTCTGGTCTGATCGTCCCGGGACGATTTGGCGATCGGCCGGGCCGATCAGACAAATG